ATCAAATAAGCCTTTTTGCACAAATGAGCCAGCTGAACCCATCCAGCATGTGCCGCTGCATTCTTCTCTTTCTCCCTCCACATCAAGCAATCTGTCTCAAGGTTTTCCCATTCTTTTGTATTTATTCATTCAAAAATAGATGTATCACTCTGGGACTTCTTTTGGAAATCGGTGGGAAAGAGGTGGTACTACATTTGTGTTTCCCTCCTTTTTATGAATGTTATTTATTGAGCTCTTTATTTGGACAATTGAAAATGCAGAGACAATTATTTCAGCTGGTTGTAGTATACACACTTGTGTAAGTTTGTAGAGGATTAGATAAGAAGAGCCAGGATGTGCCTTCAGCCATCATTTTGGATTGTGTGCTGGTCAGTGTGCTGTATAACACATCAGGCTAAAACAGCAATGGAGAGTCAGGACTCAGAGAGACACGAGGAGAGTTGGAGCTTTGATGTCAAACACTAGTTTATTACAAGTATCGGCCGGAGAATTCACATCACAAGTCCACAGCAGGTTCTGACTGCACGGTGGGTTGCCACATCAATTCTGACCAGCCTCTCTCTCGATAGACCTTTTAACTAGCTTACAGAGAGTTAATCCACATATTGGGGGGCTGACGTAAACATTCTGGGAACACTGGAGATAGCCCCAACATCTGGAGACACTGAATCACCTGTCTGTGGTGCTTAGAAGCCAGCGTTCTCTCAGTCATAAAACCCTCTGTGACCGATAATATCAACAATAGCTTAACCCTCCCATTCCTTAAGACAGATAACAGACTCAGGGTTGGTCATAAACGTCAACACACAGAAAAGGTTAAATATCTTATGAGTAAGGAAGAATTATTCCCTAACAGTACGCCTCCTCTTTCCTTCAGTCTTTGTGAGGTTTTGTGGACAGCCTCACTTTATTTATTGTTCTTCACCTCTGAGCAGGAAGGGGAAATCAAAGCAAGAACTGCCGTTGAAACGTTGCAGTTGGTTTTGCACACACTGATGTTTAACTTAATTTCTGAACGAATCAGACTCACCACTGGATAACACCACTAATGTGTAAAATACTCAAACAAAACCGCTTCCTCAAAAAAATGCTCAGTATGGCTACCATAATAAACAATGCTCACCACGAAAGTTACTATCATATAACACAGCTTTTTTAATAGTATCATCATAGTAAGTCTCTATAGCGATCCTGTTGTGATAATTATCCAAGGTGAGAAAAGAAGATATGGATAAACATCACTTTCAGGTGGTATCACTGAATATGTCTGGCGTCTGCAAGAAGGTGTGAAAGTGCAGGTCAAGGAGGAGGAGTCAATCAGCAGGCAAAGGGGGGGATAATATATTATAAGGTAGTGTCCGTAAACAGTACGCCGCACAGGTCCGATTCAGAACCTCCATAAATAATAATAAATATATATCTTAAAGCTTAGGTTGTGTTTGAGCGCACCCCAAAAAAATGGCTATTCACTACAAGACAAACAACGTGTCCAAATATAAATAATAGTAGGATAATATAGAAAGAGTGAAAGAGTTTAGGTCAATACCCCTTGATAAGAATGGGTTCGCCTGATATGTCAGTGGTTAGAGCTGGAAGGCCCCCATACAGTCATGCAGGCACGCGCCTAGAAAACCAGTGTTGAATCCTGAACCAGAGCTAAACATTTATGGCATGCCCTCCCCCTCTGTCCCCCCTTTCAACTCGACATCTCCAATAACGGGCCCTCTGGACCGAAAAAAACTAAAAAGTATCGAACAGAAAAAACAAAAATGGATCAATCTAAAATCACATAAAATATTTAGCAACAGGTACCGGGTGACATCGAAATGGAGAACAACAGAATATAGTTTGAACTTTTATATTTCGTAAATGCCATCTTGATTTTAAGTATTGGAGGCATTTCCAAAACTCTTCTTGTTTGAACGCTGCATGGATTGTAATAGCTGTGTCTTATGTTCAAACACACAGATCCAAATGGTTATTTATGTAGGCTCGAAACCACAATTTTACATTTTGTATTTGATGTTTATTTCATTTAGTCTCTAGCAGATCAACCAAAACATGAAAATGATCGTTTAAAAACATAATAAATGAACACCATAGACACACAAATAATGGATTAGGATTGTGTACAAATTAAGGATCCGAGGGGGATGTCAAAATGCTCCTGCATGGTTTCATGAACTGCAACACTAACGTTTTATTTACAAATCCAAAAGTAACAAGCCACTGAAGCAAATAATATGCACATTTTAAACATGTGAAAACGCCCTTGCACCTCTCTCTCCAATCAGCCTCATGTTTTGAGTTCAAAGTGCGCAGCCAATTAAGGCCCTGATGAGGTCTCGATGGACGCCGAGGTGTGGCTGCTCTGATGAGGAATATGACGGGCTAGAGTTTAAAAGCTCCACCGCTCACGCCTGACGACCATAGGCCTACGTGAGTCAGTCAGGAAGACAGAGAGCAGCCTGACCAGTTTCAGTTATGGAGGCCTTTCATCTTCAGGTATCCTCCTTGTAGGACTCTGTGTCACAACCTCTTTGCTTTCCGCCCGACCACGTTACACACAAGATGCTTCGTTCAGAGCCTTGCGACACACAGGCACGTCTGAACTCGGGCAGGCAAGAGTCTCCGGCTGAGAGACCGCACAGGTGATACACCATCAGAGTGACTGTCATGCCAGACTCTTTGAGATTGTACAAAGCCGCAGTTGCGGTTGGAGCTTGCCTGTTGACGTGACGAGATACACCTTGAGTAGAGACCACACCGAGTAAGCGCGGAGAGCGAGCGTCGCGGTACAGTATCGGTGGCGGGCGCACGGCGCGAGAGTGCGCAGAGCGAGGTTTTATAGGGCGGGAAAGAAAACACGTCTACTCTCGCGCACAGAGAGCGGAGGGGCAGAGCGCGCGGTCATGGGGAAGGCGGTCGGGCCGGATGCTGTCGAAGGAGGGAGCGGGTGGGCGGCTGACGCCCAGGGCGTTGAGGGATGTCATTACGAAAAGTGCGTGTCTCTGTTTTTAAAGCTCGCATTGTAAAATTCTTGAATGTTCTGTCTCTTTTAAATGCACTGTTTCTGTTTCGTTAGGAATGTATAGTTGTCCAGTTCTCACTCATGCCTACACCTG